TGCCGCTGCCGCTGCCTCCTCTCCTCGTTTTTCTGGTCCTGGCTGAGCATAAACTCCACGAGAACGCGCGAGGTGTTTACAATGTTCATGACTGCTCAGCGGGCTCCATGCTTGCCGTGGTATGGAGTCTGCAGTGTTCACCCACCCAGGAAAAAAGGCGCGAAAATGGTTGTCTGCCGTCCGTTGCTTTCATGCAGGGAGGAGGGAGGGAGGAGGTGAGGCTGTACCCAGAACCACCTGCGACGATGTTTTTTGTCCCATCAGGCACTGGGATCTTAACCCACAATCCTAATGGGCGCAGGAGACTGCGGGAACTATGGGATAGCTATGGGATAGCTACCCACAGTGCAACGGTGCAGAAATCGACGCTAGCCCCGGTACTTGGACGCACACCACCGAATTAATGTGCTTAGTGTGGCCGCATACATTTCGACTTTATACAACCTGTTTTTCAAATCCGAATTATATAAATTCGGATTAATCCCGTAGTGTAGACATACCCTTAGAGAATTGGAACTCTGAGTCTCAATTCCTCCCTGGTCTGCAGTTTACTCAGGGCAGATTGCACAATGACAATTTGCACTTTATTAATTAACTACTGTACTTCCATTCCATGATTTAAGAAAAATTCTAATGGAAGTAGGGTTTCTTCCCTTGAACATATAAACAACCCCCTATGATGTTTGCAATCCAAAACTGTGGCATTTTGCTGGTACAGCATGAAAGGTGAAAAGTGCACTAGGTTTTAAAAGTCAAGTCATTTTTAATTATGGAAAGTGATAGAACTGGTGTAAATACATAACAGGCTGTTACAAGAAGGAGAAAAATTGTTCTCCTTAACCTCTGTGGATAGGACAAGAAGCAATGGGCTTAAATTGCAGCAAGGGCGGGTTAGTTTGGACATTAGGAAAAACTTCTTAACTCTCAGGATGGTTAAGCACTGGAATGAATTGCTTAGGGAGGTTGTGGAATCTCCATCACTGAAGATTTTTAAGATCAGGTTAGACAAACACCTGTCAAGGATGGTCTAGATAATACTTAGTCCTGCCATGAGTGCAGGAGACTAGACTAGATGACCTCTCAAGTCCCATCCAGTCCTACGATTCTATGATTCTATTTAAAGAAATTTGTTTTGTAACAGCATTACTCTTAACCTGGCTGGAGACCCTCCTTTTAAATATGTGCCTTGTTGCAAATATACAGCCCTTAATTTGTTACACCAAGAAGGCAAAGATCAGGTTAGTCATTTCCTGGGATAATATATTTTAAATCATATTGGAAATGAACTAATCCAGTGACTCATGCCAAAATACAGAAAGCGCCTTTTGAACCAGACTAGAGGAATAGTATACAATATTTCATCACCTCAATAAGTCGGTCTCCAGCCTTTAGTCTCCCATCTTGAATAGCTGCACCTCTTGGAAGGATGTTTTTCACATAAATTGGAGCTGAGCCACCAATTGGTACATCTCTTGAAGTGATGCTAAATCCCAAGCCTTCTGTACCTGCATAAACAATATAAAGCATTATCATTTGTCTAAGAAGTGCATATTCATTTAATTATACTGCATATTGATTCTAATTCATCTGTTGCCAATATTTTCTGTTTGTGACAATTACATACAGAAGCCTTATAAAAATACTGCCTAACAATGTTTCGCCGAAAAACGTGAAAACATAATACCTGGAAATAACAACAATTTTGAATCTTAGGGCCCCGAGTCTTACAACACAAATGACTGTTGGACCCTTTCTCATGAAACCTCTGTACTGGGAATTTCCTGCTCATTGCCATATCTACAAACTTCCACTTTTGATTAAGATGAATGAGATGGAAGTAGGGCAAAGCAGATCTGGCATCCCTTAACTTCCTCTCCCTTGTCAGTCTAGATTTTGTCCTTGATTTAGTACAAAGAGTTCACTGATTTCCTTGGTCAATAATCTACTCTCCTTCTATGATGACTCTTTTAGCAATGTCAGCTGTTTGATATTGTTGACCATGAGGTTTTGTCAACTCATCTAAAGACTCTGGCAGTGATGGATGGAAACACAGTTCAGTGGTTCCATTCTTTCCACTTGGAGAGGCCTCAGAATGTATTATCAATTGCTCATCCACCCTGAATACTCGCTGATGTGGGCTATCACAGGGTTCCATGCTACCTTACATTGTGTTCAACATTATATTACATATATAATGCCTCTAAGAAAGACAGTGAGACTGTCTAGCCTTCAGTGCTATTGAGATTGCACTCAAGTTTATGTCTCTTTTGCTAGACACAGATTATTACAGTTTCTCTGCCTGGCTACAGCTCAATTTAGAGAAGTTGGAAGTGATCCTGGGAGATATGAGGAAATAACAAGAACGTACTCTAGGTGAAGTTGTCCCTGTTACTAAGGAAGTATACCCACAATTGGTCAATGTGGTGTACAGGCCAGGGTTGCTTTTGCACCCGATCAACTCCTGGATTCAAAAGTAGCCATGATGGCTAGAAAGGCTTTTTTCCACTAGGCTATGAAAAATTTTTCTTTTTCCTTTTTGGTTTCAACTGTCCCACAGTTATCGGTGGGTTTGTGACCTCCCATTTAGATAACGCCATGGTGGAATGTTGAGGTTATCATTGAGGACCATTTGGAATTTTTCATCTAGTACAGAATGTACATAACCACTTATAGAGCACATAGCTGTTGGAGAAAGATGACATCTTCACCTTACATTTATAATGTCCACTATAGTTTGGTTCCCAGTCATCTTAGAGACAACCTCTACCCCAGTAACTGAGATCAGCTAGGGGCTCCTGTTAACAGTTCCTAGAGCTGAACTTTGAGGAAGATGAATGTAGTATTCTCTGTGAAGTGTATGCAACCTGGAATTTGCTTAATGCAAAACCTGAGTTTGTAGACTTTTAGGCTACAGTGTCATGTGCATCTCTTTACTCTATTTTTTTGAATGAGTAAGATCATATTTACATATACCAAAGAGGTTGGAATCCAGTTTAGTTGACATTGATGCATATGTTGAGTTCCTTGTTTGTACATGAACCCAGCGACATACACAATTGTGTATGTTCAGAGATTTAATATTAACACATTTTATAAATTGTAAAATAAAAATATGTATGAATTAATTTAGAATAAAAAAAGGGGATTTCATTAATTTTCTTACATAACATTCACAAGCATCATCTTCAGCAGAAAAGGTGAACATAGAATAGCTAAGTTTTCAGGAGCAGTGAGTGCTTTTGAGACTCATAGAGACTCCTTGAGACACCCTACTGAATACGTCTACTCAGTAATTAAACACCCCTGGCTGGCCCGGGTCAGCTTACTTAAACTCATGGAGCTGTAAAACTACGTGTAGATTTTCAGACTCTGGCTGAAGCCTGTACTCTGGGACCCCATGAGGTGGGAGGGATCAGACCTGGGTGCCTGAGTCAGCTGACCAGGGCCAGCTGTAGGTCTTTTATTTCAGTCTAGAGGTGCCCACAGAGCCAGATCTTCAGGAAGTGGATGCACAGCACTTGCAGAAAATCAGGTCCTTCTAAAGTATTTCAAATGAGGTGCCCAGTAATTAAAGCACATACAATTACCAGTCACAATTTTGTAAATCTGAGCCATAAAGCATTTTCTTAAGTAAATATCATGGCCTAAAGGGTTTAAAAGAATAAAACTCTTATAAACTGAAATTGAAATCTTACTTTATGACAGCCACCACTGAAAACATGCTATTAAAAAGCCATCTAAAAAAACCCCCAACCCTCTGCCAGCCAGAAAGAACAGTGTCTTTTCCAAGTCACCACCCCAAAAAATCCCATGTTGACCAGGCACTCCAATAATTTGGGGAAAGATTTTGGAATATTAAATCAAGATACTCTTTGTAGAAAGAGTTTAAGACAGGAGATGAAAAAAATTACAATTCTTTAAAGCTTAAGTTTCCTGCACAAAATGAAGAAAAATACTTTGATGTCCATCATCCATAAGTAAGGGTATGTGATTGATATTGTTCAGCAAGTTTGGGGCAGAGCAGTTGTTATGTGCTAACCTAACATGAAATAAATTGGTCTTCTTCAGCTCTATAGGACTGGATATATTTATGTGAACAGTATGAAAACATTCATCCACTTTCAGGACACTACAGAATTTATCAATGTTATTACTTGGAAAGATGGGAAAAGATATAAATCCCGCAGCCACCATGTTTTGTTTAGGAGATCCTAATATTTTAATGATCTTGCAAAATTTTCATATAATTCTTCACTTCCTTCCAAGAGCGTGAAGATGACATGCAGAAGTCTATGGTTATGGATTGATTTCTCAATAATTTTTCTTTTTTTTTGCAGTATTTATCCTTTTCTTATTTTAAAGTATCTGGGTTGTTGGTTGTTCTGCTTTAAATACAGTTTTTTGGGCTATGTATTTATATTGTTTTCAAGATATTAAAGTTTCTAAATAATCTTAAGGCTATGAGTTCATGCCCAAGACAATGTCTCTTTATGGTTAATCTTAATTCCCTTTGCCTCATTATTATGTGATTGCATATTCACAGTTCACACACCCTTGTGTTTGATTTTAAACCTTAGTGGGGAAAACAAATCAAACCTCACGATTTCATATTACAAGTGTGCTTAGCGTAACTATTGTTAAAGCCTTACAAAATTCTACATGTTCACTTGCATAAGGTTAATGTTTGTTTTTTTTAAACACTAAGTAAAATCTTAAGTCTACTCAACACTATAAAGAGTTGATTTGCAGGTTTTTATACCTAGGCAGATACATTTTCAGGACAAATTTTCCTAGGCTGCTTTATAAAGGCTTTATGTTCCCCCTATAGTCAAGATGATTATTGGGTGTCTTGCTCTTTTTTTTTTTAAACAATTGTATTTTTAATGCTATTACACATCTACAAATTCTGGTTAAATTTCATTTTAGATTTTTTGTTCTGTTTATCTTGTGATAAAAGTAAATTGTCTCTCAGATGCATCCTACCAGATGCCCATTTCTACAGATACCATAACATTCCAGTTGTACTTGTCTACTATGAAATCTCTGTACTCTCTGTTGAGTGTAAAAATGGCTGGACCTCTTCTTCAAGATGCTTTACTTTTGCATTTATAAGTGTGCAACCTAAAACTTGGGTTTTTAAATACAACTTCCTCGATAGTCGTAATTTTATATTAATTTATATTGGACTTTCTTAATGACCTAAGAAACCCAGTTTAAAAAAAGAAAAAGAAAAAGAAAAAAACCTCACAAATTTGGGATATATTTTCGTGTGAAGATGACATTTTTACCAACATGCTAGTGCACAAAGTAATATTGTTTCCAACAATACATTTTGAAGGGACAGCAAGAAATGTGGTGACATTTTGCCAGGCTGTTCTTGCTTTTGCTAAGTTATTTATATTTGCAACTGATAACATTTTGGTGAACATTTGCTCGGTCCAGTCTAGTCAGATTTTTTGTATTTTTCACCATCGTTGTGTATTGGATATTTAAATGTGGTTTAATCAGAACCTGTGTGTTCCATATGTAGTTTGAGGGTTTGATGAACTTTGGACATTACTATAATATGTTCAACTTGGGGCAACAGGACATGTGGCTGGATGGATTTTATGCCTATTATTTTCTCTGTGCCCATATAATTGATTCAGTTATCCATGCTACATATGTCTCAGCCAACTTGGCAGTAGAAATGTGCATTACTTAGGTGACCCGGGAGAATCAATACCCCCCTGCTGCTGAAAGATACTGAACCTATATGCATCCGAAGAAGTGGGCTGTAGTCCACGAAAGCTTATGCTCTAATAAATTTGTTAGTCTCTAAGGTGCCACAAGTCCTCCTGTTCTTCTCTTTGAACCTATTTAGTTCTTAGGGAGTAAAACTGATCATATTATTATTATTATTATTAATGAAGGAACTGTACAAACATATGGAAGGCTCCAGTGGTACCCCTGAAAGGTCCAACAAAAAGATACTTTCGAAATTTTAAAGGAGAAAAGAAACTGGACAAACATAGTCAGAACACAGAGTGAGAGTGGCAAGGAAGCTGAAGGAGAAGATGAGATTTCACCCCCCCCCCCATGCAAAAAAGGCTTTAGTGACTTGACAGCCCCTTATAATCAACAGCACAAGACTATTTGATTCTCACATCCAGTCACCCTCAACTTAATTTTTAAGGGGTTGCACCAAGGACAGCATGGACTGAACCTTAGAATCATTACCTGATTATCTTCCATTTGCGCTAAGCTTTGTAAGCTTCAAGTGAATCTTTTATAGGATTCCAAAGACAAAGCCAGGAAATGGCTAAGTTACTGAATGAGGGCAGAATCCATGTCTCCTTCTACAGCTGCTGTCTCCAAATATGATCAAATTACACTTAATGATACTGAAATTAATGAGGCATTTAGAAATTACCCTACTGATTTGTATAATTCAAATTCTCAAGCTTCTCTTGATAACATCAGCAGCTTTCTTGACAAGTTGGAGATTCCTTTCTATCTCATGTGCAATGCTGAATAAGCATTCTAGAGTCAGGTTATCTAGGAGGGGATGACAAGCAACAAGCTCAATGGTAAACTCAAAAAGGGCATTTAATTGGGCAAGTACTCTAGTCAAGGATAATTGCTCAGAGCAGCATTCTTAACTGAAACAGGGAACTGCAGCTTCAGAGTTTTGGTTGTTTTGGGGGTTGTTTTTTGGGAGGTGGGGAGCTGGTAAAATTAAAAGGGAAAAAACAATCCATCGTTACATTATACTGTATACTTGAGTATATACTGTAATGAAAATCCCTTCCTGAATACAGATCAGCCTTACTGTGACCTGGGAAGTTGGTACAGGAATGGCAGGAACCTGCTTGGGTGCCACAAAGTTTCTGTTGCCTCCCTAGGAACAGCTCCTTGGTGGTAAGCAGTATCCTTAGTCTTATGTGCCAGTCTCTTTAAGGTTCTCTGGCATGAAAAAAGTGTGGTCTCCTCACCCACCACTAGTTGATGGCCTATGTCAGGTACTGGTGTGCCATTGTGCAGAAAAGTATTGCCTGGACAAAAGATATTAAGGAGGCCTTGTCCTTCTCAATAAGCATCTGCCCTTCCCCACTTCCTGCTGCACTTACAGTCACAGTCCAGAAGTCTCAGAGGAAACAGAAGGAGCTAGGATTTAAATGAGTGCATTTGAGCCCTCCTGCATAATCCGTAAGAGGGCAAGAAGCATCTACTTTTACCACTGTATCGTACGTGATCCATAATGAGCCCACAGTATGTGGAGCCGGTAAAAAGGCCAATTGGTGGTTGGCAAACCCAGCTTCCTCTGCATCGGAGCAAGCTTATACAGCCACCAAGCTACAATGCCTCATGCTCTCCCCCACACTTCAGACCAAGACAAGCACAGCATTCTCCCCAGCAGTGTCAATCTCTGCAGTTTAGACATTTTATTGCATGCCTAAGAGCCAGCCAGTTACGGGAGCAGGTGGAGTACTCCTCACGCTCAAACTGCCAGGTGAGTTCACGGACAGCATTGATCCCTTTGGGAACACAGAACCAAAATCCAGAGTCTGCTCTGATGGTGCCACACAAGGGCTAAAAATAATAGTTAGTTAATGGCCAAATGCAGTATGCAAATGGAAGCTAGTCAGGTCAGGAAGCAGCTTTCCCGCAAGGGCCTGAAGGTCCTTTTCTTGACTTAAAAAACCCCACCACCTATGTGTTACTGCTAGGCAGGAACTTTGCAAACTTTTAATCCATTAACTATTATCTTCCACTGTATGTTCATGGGTTTAACTGGAGCCCATCCAAGCTCCCATCTTCCTTTTGGCCGTAAGTGCTTCAGAACAATAAAAAATGATATATTTGTTGCAATGAACGTTCTTTTCAGCTTTATATCTGATTTATTTGATTCCAGTTTTGCCTGTTGGAAGCTAAAGAGGGTACTATTGATTGCTAAACTCCTTGGACTCTTTTTTGGTATTTAAATACAAGTTAGACATTTGTTAAGGATAGGGGTTGGGTTGAGCTGAAACTCAATGGCATGATGAATTGGCACTTTCTCTGGTCTCCATATCGGTATCTGCAGATTAAAGCTTTCATTAAAAATGCACCTCTACCCCGATATAACGCAACCCGATATAACACGTATTTGGATATAACGTTCGGGGGGAGGGGAGAGGGGAGCTGCGCACTTTGGTGGATCAAAGCAAGTTCAATTTAACGCGGTTTCACCTATAACGCGGTAAGATTTTTTGGCTCCCAAGGACAGCGTTATATCGGGGTAGAGGTGTATATACTTGTGTATTAAAACCATTTTAGATGTTCTCTGAGAAGTATTTTTTGGAGTCCATATTTTCAGGACTACACATGCACAATGAGAATAATGGCATGTGCAAATGATCAGTTAGAAATCTATGAAATTACAGCAGTTGCATGTGCAAACAAGGTAGCTGCAAAAATTAATTGCATGCCTGATTAGCTATGTGGGTCTGAGAATCTAGAACATCATTTTCCCCTCTAACCAAAGAGCACACTCCTAAATAAGCATTATGATAATTCCAGTATTAAAGTCCAGCCATTTTCACTGCATACCTGCTAAAACTAATGGTTAGAGGGTTTTTTTTTCCCCCACCACAGGAAAATGGTGTTTGTAGCACCTCTATCCAGAAACTCAGAAATGGCTAAAGTGATTGATTTCCTTTCACTTTCACCTCAGATTTGAGATAAAACTTTGAAACTCACCTAAGTGGTTTAGAAACCTAAGTCCCATTTTCAAAAGTGACAGAGACCTTTGGCTTTTACATCTCAATAGGATTTGGTATCCTAAGTCACTTTTGAAAATTTTACCCCACGCATGGACAACTTCATCCCAAAAGGTGACTATCTCAGAAAAGTATGTGTGAAAACAGGAAATTATCATGAAAAATATTTAGCAGTCTTTGCATAGCGGGTACAAACTCCATGTTGTAACTAATTCAGGGTCTCAGCCTGAAATCTTTACTTTGTCCTTATCTAGGGTGCAGTGGAATTTTGCATGAGTAAGGACTGATTAAAAACTAGGCCCTGACCCTTCAAGCAGCTCTGCACATGGGCCACTATGCCTTTCTGTAGCTCCACATCTTCAATGGATAGCTAAAGAGATGCAGAAGTCCATCCGCAAACTGCTATGTGTAAGCTCAGGGCTCAAGAATGGACTTCAGTATATGGCTCCAAACCAGAAAAAATGTAAACGCTTGCAATTCAGATTACAAAATCTAAAAACCAAATTACTTAGGCCAATTACCAAATTATCAGATAAAATAGATGGGTTGAGTCACTTACGTTGGATTTCAATTTTTGCTATAATGTCAAAATAAAATCGCAGAATCTCTGACCTTTGGCTGACTCTTTTGGTTTTCTGAAAGATTCTCTTTTCATGCTTGATTTATAGACCGCTTGGGAAACTAGAACTAAAGAGTTGTTCTTGTCTCCATGTCCACTTTACATATAGGTTTCTGCTTAACATTTTATTAAGTATTATTAGTATTGTATTTACTAAATCTAGACAAAAAGCTATTTCAAGCCTAAATAAATTATGCACTAAATGTTAATATATTGAACGAGCAATGATATTTTCCTTCAGGTGATGAGAAGCCATTCTAGTCCACAGTAGTCTTGAAATATTCCAAGTTGTTTCCAGACTAGTGTGTCTGAACTCTGAGAGATGTGATGCCTGACTGAAAACAGTTCTTTGAATACTTTAGGGACTATTGAGCTAAATGTTATAAGCTAATGAACATATATGAAGAATGAGACTCCTGAAATAATCTTTTTTGTTTGTAGTACATTATTTATAACAGTTGGTCCAGATTTTTCTCAGTTACACTGGCTTAAATCCAGAGTAGTTTTGTCTAAAAGAGTTTATTTGGGTCTCTGTTAGTGTAACTGAGATCAAAGTTTGGCCTGATTGTGAGTGTTGTATAAGTGGCCTTATTCTCTCTACATGTCAGCTGGGAGGAATTTTCTCTATTTCATTTCTTGTTTAGGTGTATTGTAAATTATGATACACAGTAAAACATAAATAAAAAATACAAGTCAGTTGTCACTCCCCATGCTGTCTTAACTTGTATGAACTATGAAGAGTGACTTCAATTCAAGCCTCAATAGTATTAGAATATCAGCAATAACCCCTACATCTGTATGCTAAAAGTTCAGGGCCTGACCTTTAAGGAAAGATAAATAGATCTCCATTTTCATTTAGAAAAGCCAACAAACATTCTGCATTGACTGAAACATATTACTGACCTTCTCTTCTGACTTTATTAAGCAGTTAATGCCTATGAAAGATCAGGTTATTTGAAAATGCCAAAATGGCAATAAATATTAAGAAATCATAATTATGGAGGCAAGTACTACAGGGCTGTCCTAGTATGTCATTTTACTTGACATAGCTCACACAATATGTAAAAACACAGCTTTAATAAAGGTCTCTCTCTTTATGTTGAGGAGTCAATTCACTCATACAACATTATCTAGAATACATTGATTAAATCAGAAGTGAATTTCAAGTTGAAGCCTTAAATAAGTGTATGCTTTAATGTACCCACAAGGAATTTTTAATCAAGCTATGTTATTTGGTGAAATAACTGCTGTCTGTTAGCAGCAAAGAACATGTATTTGTTATATTTCTATAAAACCTCTTACTACAATGTCTTTCATTAGAAATAATCAAAGACAATCAATGTCCCTATTTCACTCATTTATAATAAACTACTTGGGGGTATACTTAAGCACTTTGCTTCATTTGTTGCTCCACATTTACGTTCTCAGACTAATCAAATGAAAATCAAGATGGGAAGATGCATCTTTCTACAGTGGAGATTGACGAAAGAATAACAAGGAAGCATTTCTGTATGCATGCATTCTATCCTAGGTTAGCATGCGTATAATAAAGTATGCTAAATTATTGTGTGTGTCTGTCTATAATTTGACTTGTGCTATCTTTACATAGCAATTCTTCTTATAAAAGCAATCTATTAGAAATAAAACTGAACACTTCTGATATATGTTTTAAGTTGTGGTTTTAAAGTCTGAACTTAGAGGCATTTTTTGTCAAAGTAAGTTAAATTGATTAAGTATGGGTACTCGTATTTTTTCTTTTATCTGAAAATTCATTAAAACAGGATTCACTAGTACAGGGGGTGTCAAACATTTTTATAGCATGGACCATGTTCCTAGACAGATTGCCTTGTGGATCGCCAGCTTTTCCCATCTCGTGGTCCACGTCTCCCCTCCCATTCATGATCTCAGCATTTACAGCAACTGCTTACATGTCTAAATTATATTAAGAAAATGATTACAGTATTTCTTGCTGTCTCTAATGTAGTACGTATAGCTGGAACGCTAGGGGAAAAGTTAGCATCATGTGATCAATCAGCTCTCTGCAGGGCACCAGGAAGTGAGCTACATCCCACAGTTTGAGAATCTCTGCTCTAGCAAATTAAAAACTGATATTCCTGTTTTCTTTTTTTCAACATCTTGGGCACCAAGATTGCTTTGTGACAAAATAATTATTTCCTCCAGCCAACATTTATGTTATCATAATTATTGTTGATGTTCTACAAGCGATGTTTAACATACATATTTTCACCCCAGCTGAGAAAATTAGATGTTTGCATATCATGTCCCAATGATATTTTCAGAGGCTTCCTATTTATCCATTCCATTAAAGAATGAAAAATCAGTGTACTGACTGGGGGCATTTTTGTAAGTACAGTGATTCCTTACTCAGCCAACAACAACATTTTTCCAACCAAGTTGTCTTAAGCTGATGGCCTTAAGTATTTCTGAAGGAGCATCAACAACAGAAGCAAACTGTCAATTCAGCCTTATGTCACCCAAGTTTGTAGAGCTTAAAATTCAGTAACCAGAAACAAGCAATCTGGTAGTTCATAAGAAGTTCACAGAAAAGAGAATTTTAGAAAGAAAATTGCTATCCTGGTAATTATGAAGCCACAGTAAATCTCTACCATTCAACATACTCTGTCATCAGCTCCTTTTAAGAAAATCATTTTTATTAATTAACACAAATCTAACGTGAAACAAATAACCTTTCACATAAAGGCAAAGTTTAACAGAATGGGTATATATAGCATATTCTGTCACATTGAATGCAATGCACCCTGCATTGAACTCACTTGCTTTAACCTCAAAAAACTTTGGCATGCCATTGTCATTTAAAAACTCATCATTTGCCAACAGTTACAACACAATGGCATCTGAGACATGTTAGTTCCTATTTTAAGTATAATGAAATAACTAGTATTTCAAAAATGACTGGGTGGTAACTATTTGCAAATACTGACTTTTAATGGTGACTGCAGTACACAAGCTATATAATTTATATAGCTCTAAACTTGCAGACTGGGCATCTCGAAATGACCTCGCCCGTATCCATGATGCTAAGCAGCGAAGCACGTTCCCATTCTTTTAGATGGGATCGTGACTTGTGCTGGGTCAGTTCAGTTCATGGCCATCCTCAGTCAGCAACATGGCAAGTCTTGGATAACTTTCCACGCAGCCAACACAGACCGTCGCTGATCCATACTGGCTACAGTTCCCAGTTGTCAAGAGTTCCAAAAAGAAGCAGTGAAACTTCTGAAAGGCTGACTGGGAAAAATACAGGGAAGCGCTGGAGAAGAGTGTGGTGACAATACCAGCCTGGCATAACTCGGTAAATGAGACCTACCATCGCTTCTGTGGTGCTATCTACAAAGCAGCCTATGGAGCCATCCCACGGGGCTGCCGCCTGGTCTACATCTCCTGTCTCAACACGGAGAGCGTTGCCTTGCTTGAGCAGTATGAGGCATCTGGTGACCCAGATGATGCTGACCATCTGATCGAATCATTGGACACCACTCGCCGAGCCAGATGGGAGGAGACGACCCGCTCCAGCCACAAGTGTTGGAGTCTGCTCCAACGCCTTGGAGCAGCGCAGCAGCCACCTGCACTCAGCCGACCCACAGTGACACCCAACCAGGTAGCTGGACACCTACTTAAAGTGGCCAGAGCACCTTTGGAGAAACAGGTGGGAAGACAAGTGAGGAACGACTGGCGTATGTTTAAATGTGTACACCAGATCAGAAGCTGCCCAGAACCATTCACTGGAACAGAGCCG